AAAATGCATTAATAATAAAATAAAAGATACAAAGTCAAGTAAGAAAGCTTGTAAATAACAAACAAGAATTAAGCAAGATCCTCTTACTCTATCCTAGAAGCTAATTTTTACACAAGAGAAAGGGGGAAAAAAAGCAAGTAAAGCTAAAATATCTTGGTACAAGAAGTAGAGTTAAATTTAGAGAGTGAAATTAAAAAACACAAGAAAAGGAAAACACAATAAAATATATATCGTCAATTTAAGAGATGGTGCAAAAGAAAAGAATATATGTGTGTGTACCTAGAAGAATGATGCATGCAAAGCAAACAGCTTGTAAGCTCCTCTCCAATGGACTTCCTTTGTCTCTATTTGCACCGCAAGTGCACGGGTTGTGATAAGTTATAAAGTGATGAGAAAAGATCACTCTCATGAAGATTTGTGCAAAAATCAAGACCAAACAAAAGACTAAGTGAATTTAATTAAGTTGAGCCAAAAAAATTTTTGACGAGAAAAGTGAATTTTGAAAGCAAATTTTAAAACTACAGAGTACTGAAAGTAATTGATTCTCAAACTTCAAGGGATAAAAGGGCCCAGGATTATTCATTCCCCTATATCATAACCTTTGATTTATCTCCTCAATAATGTTCTTAATGAAAATATGGGTTAGTTTAGGATTCAAAAAGTATTTACAAAAGCTTTCTCAAGTCAAGCACCAGTATTTAATTCCATTAATTGCTCAATCTCTTGTCACAATTAATAAAACCCAGCTTTTAAGCTTCAATCCTAAAGTGACTATGCAAGGTTGGTAAGTATATCTATCTTACCAACAAAATTATCCATTCAGCAAGCAAACTTCAAATTCTTGCATAATTTTACCCAAGCTCTACACTTAACCTAACCTTCTCAAGTATCAATCAAGCGAACAAAACAACCAAATGGTGATCAAGCATTTAGAAGCATTAAGAAATGAGTAAAATAAACACACACACACACACATCATTAATCACAAAATAAGAGAAGTAATCAAGAGTTAATCCACATAAGGGTTCAAAATAATCCCAGAATAAAGTGTTCGACTATTCATAATCAACCATAAGCCACAACTATAAAGAAAACTTACAGCCATAGCAGATTGCAAGAAAGGAAAGGGAAGAATAGCAGGAAAACCAAGAAGAAGGCGCTCCAAATCTCTTCCAAAGCTTAATTGCTTGCTCCAAGCTCTTCAATCTCCCAAAACCCTAGCACACTGGCTCCCTAAAGGTCCAAATCTCCCTTTTTTGATCCTTTCCTTGTGTTTTTATCGCCCCCTTTAGACCTAGAATTTGTGCTATCCTTAAAACGCATAGTACCAATAGTTTCTCACTCGTTGCAGCCAATTCCTTTATGTATCCTCTGTTAGCTACAGCCAAAAGTTTCTGTTGGCTAAGGCCAACAGCTCGCTATTTTGGATTTATTCTTTGCTTAATTTTTTTTCTTCATGCCATCACTCTCTAAGCTTCTTTCTACTCCAAGGGGAATAATATTTGCTCCAATTGGCTCCATTAGCAAGCTTTAACTACCTAAGAAAACAAAACAACTATGAAAGCCAAAGTTGATGAACTAGTGGCAACATATTAACAATTAACCATAAATCCATAACTCTAGCCCAAGTATCAACTATGCACATTTTCCTATCACAAATGCTTCCAAATATTCATTAATTCACCAAAGAGTAAGATAACTAAGGAAAAAGGTGCTGAAATAACATGAATTTTACAAGGTTAACAGTCTCAAATAACAATGAAGCTTTATCACCGTTAGCTACAACTTCTCTCTCAGCTACGACTTTCCTCTCTTCTGCTTCCTTTCCTACTCTCATCTTGTGAAGTTGTGAAGTCTGTGATGTATATGTGCGTGTGTGTTTCTGTGAGAGTTTCACATGGAGGAACAATGAGCATATACATATATGGTCCTCTCTAGTATCGTAATTTTTCACCATACTTGTGTGTGTACACCACAATATTGTCTATCATGAGAGAAACATAACAATTAGCCACAATATAATCCACCCTCACTATACACAAATAAATATTGTACTAGCTCAATTAATGTTCACAGTACCATATTCAAATTAATATATTCATATGTAACTTGGTTTTATATGGCCGAAGCCTTATAGTCCAATGAAATTAATACATTTTTGCTCTATTTTTTTTATAATCCTGGCATTCTTCTGATTATACTAAAAAAAAAAAATTTAAAGGTGCTATCCTCAATATGCTTAAATAGCATTGATAATTTGTAAAATTCAACATGAAGATTAAATAATCTTCCTCTTAAGTTTTAGTCCTTAATATGTTGAGAATACTTAATTAACTATCCTATTCCAACCAAATTCCTCCCATAGACATTTTTGCAAACACCTTATGTGCATTAATACTTTAACAAGTTTACCAAGCTTTTAATTTTTAAATGCTTTGCACAATCAATATTCGATGTTGCCTAAATTCAATTCTTTACCAACAATCAATTTAAACAAAAAACTTTCAACACCCACAACATTTACGGTCAATGCTTTCAACACCCACCAACCTTAATAATCACTTAGCTTTCAACACAATATAACAACTACACATAAAATAACTTGCCCAGCTCAAGTTGCATTGTGCGTCACGTGCAAGCTAAGAATGGGGAGAGATAATCGCGTGCAAGCTAATAATGGAGAAGACTGGTGCACTGAGTTGAGAATGGGGAGACAATCTCATGCGACGCCAGGAAAAGAGAAGAGAAGAGGAGGAAGTTGATACTGAGAATGGAGAATAATGATTTGCGACGCCTAGGAAATAGGAGAGGAGAAAAAGCTTTGTTCTTTGATGTGGCGTTGCTGTGTGTCATGAGAGTGAGCTAGGGCACTGCAGAAAATTTTTTATAAGAATGATGACCTCATACTCATCTATTTCAAAGCAAATAGGCCAGTATGAATGCTCATATTCATCTATTATGATGTAACAGACAAATATGAGTGCTCATAATCATTGTTTTGTCTTCATAGATGAGTATTAAGAATTTTTTTCCTTCTGATTTTCAAAACAGACAAAAATAGATATTTTTGGAGTAGTGATTAATTTTTTAAATTTTAATAAAATTTTATTAGGTTTAAAGCATATATTTTGCCCTTCAAGCATACATGAGCATTTGATACCTAAAACTTTTCTATAGTGCAAAGTTATAAGAACTTTGCAATGTTCCTCTTACCGTTAATTAAATGGCGCGGACGTCTATTTAGCAAAAGACATGATTGCCTTATTGCTAAAAAGAAAAAAAAAAGACATGATTTCTTGACAGAATAAGAGCACGCAGTGTGGGATGTTACGTTTTTGTACCAGACGCAAGCTGAGGTCTTTTATCTTATGCTTTACCTTTTTGATTCAAATTATAAGTCACCCATAACCATACATTCTTGAACAATATAGTCTGTTGATAGTAAAAAAAGAGAAGACCGTGGCTATCGGTATTAAGGAAGCAGTAATGGTAGAGGGGTCACATGGAACCCTAAAATTAAGTTTCAATCATGATAGGCATAGCGGGTTTCATCATATTCTCTAGCAAGTCATTGCCTTGAAGCAAAACAATTACTTCAGACATTGATGGCCTTAATTCAGCAGATGCTTGGGTGCAAAGCAAACCAATCTCTATGATTTTCTTCACTTCTTCTGCATTATAATCATTAGGATCCAAGGTATCATCCACCAACTCTATGTGTATGCCTCTCTCATATAGTTTCCAAGCCTATAAAGTGAATTAAAGGGAAATGGAATAAGAACCAAAACTTTGGGTGGTTAAATTAGTCCTTCATGTTCTCAAATGGAACTGCCATTTGTTTACAAATCATAGAAATGTACTTACTTTTTTAAGGAGATATTCACCTTCAAATTCACCATGGATCTGCAATTTATTGCATTTTTCACCACTGATAATTTCTAGGATGACAACACCGTAGCTATAAATATCAACTTTTTCTGATAATTGACCATAAACTACATATTCTGGTGCGGTATATCCTCTGTAAAAATACATCATGTTTATGTTGTAGATGATGATTAAATTAATGCAAGAACAATATTTTGAATATGAAATAGACATATACAATGTAAATGTTGCATCATGAGTGTCATCAATATGAATTCTTATTATTTTGACTTACAATGTTCCAGCAAATTTTGTATCAAGATCTGGTTTGTCTTCTAGTAAAAGCCTTGCTAAGCCAAAATCAGCAATTCTTGGATGTAAATCGTCGTCTAAAAGAATGTTGTTAGTCTTTATATCTCTATGTATGATGCGCACATGAAGTTCTTCATGTAGATAAGCCAAACCTTTTGCTGTTCCTAATATTATATCATACCGTTGCTTCCAACCAAGAGAACCTCTATTTTCACCTATTTCACAATTTATGCACTTTAAAGGGTTGAGGAAAAAGAATAGTATTTATATTAAAAAACTTTTCAACAAGACATTGAGATGGGAGTTCTTGAATGAGATCATGACATGTGAAATGAATTGTTTTCATAGGAGTTGGTGATATATTTGTAGAAAATATGTCCACATGTCATGATTTTACAAAGAAATCCAATAGCTTAAGATTAAAGAACTATAAGTTTTGTTGGCAAATAAGATATACCAAATAAGAATTTGTCAAGACTGGTATTTTTCATATATTCATAAATAAGAATTCTCTCATTGCCTTCACTACAATATCCAAGAAGTTGAATAAGATTCCGATGATGAATATTGCTAATAAGCTTCACTTCACTTTCAAATTCTTCTTCCACCTTCTTAGACTTGCGTAAGTTTAATTTCTTTACAGCAACTATTTTCCCATTCTGCAAGGTACCCTGCTTACGAATGAAGATTAAGAATGTCAACCCCAAAAGCGTTACCATAAGTTTTGCTTATTTACAACACTAACGAAAGTAGTGCCTTGTATTCATCCTTGCTTTGGAACATGATATAAATAAATATTGAAACTCAAAATCTATAGTTACCTTATATACAGCACCAAATCCTCCTTCTCCAAGCTTATTTTTTGCACTGAAACCTTTAGTGGCAAACTTCAACTCCCTATAGCTAAAATTAATCAGGCCTTTCCACTTACTTACTCCATATATGTCTCCTGTCAAGGAAAACATTTATCAAATTAAGTTGCTTCATAAATCAAGAAAAAGCGGTTAGCGATTCCTTTTTTCATAGAATGAATTAAAGTCCACAACGTTTTCTTTAATTTGAAGAGAAAATGTGGCAAAAGCATCACGTTAATAAATCATTACAATAAGTCTCCCAATAAATATAATCAGCAAGAGATTCATCTTTCATACTTTATATAGCATTTTCTTTTGGAGAAAACTATATATGTCACTGAAAAACAAAGCATATATATGGCGTTAAATCATGGATCTCAAATTGAATAATAAAGTCTTTCAAATTTGCCTTATACCTCTATGAATCCTCTTGGACGACTTCAATCGTCTGTACAAAGCAAATAATGCGAGGAAATCAAAAGAAAAGATCCACCTCCAACCCCTCCCCCGATAATGGCCTCTTTCTTCCTTGAACCTCCCCCTGCAAGTCACAAGAAAGAGAAAATAAACACAGACTCAGACACAGACACAAGTAAATCTCACTGGAAAAGTAATTCCAAGCTTTTATGAGAGAGAGAGAGAGAGAGAGAGAGAGTGTGTGTGTACCTTCTTTCAAAAGGGATTAATATTAATGGTTTGATTATCAGCAAAGAAGGCTGTGGTGGAGTATCTCATGAAACAACCAGCATCATAAGTCTTAGCATTTGAGTTGGGAAGACAGATCTGGAAATTTCTTAAGGCAATGTTGAGGCAATCCTGGCAGCCAACTTGTGTGAGAGTTTCAATACATTGAGCAATGGCATAAATGTTTGAGCCATTACTGTTAGGCACAGGCGTCTTAGTGGCTGCATAAAAACCACTGATTCTTGGGGCTGCTATGTCCAGATTCGTTAGAACTTGTTGCACAGTTGAAGAAAGTCCTGTGGTGTTTCTGATCGTCTGATTCCCACAGATTATGTTGTTCCCAGCATCTGTGTTCTGATCGAAGAATCCACTGCTCTCATACCTTTGTACGATACAAAAACATGAAACACAAGTAATGTAATATCTATTGTATCTATATCTCTGCTGCTACTATCATACTCCCCCGTCCTAAGTATAAGACCCTTTTTATAGTGTGTATAAGGGTCTTATTTTAGGACCGGAGGAGTATAATAATAACTATTTCTTTTGTGTGTTTCTGTATCTATGAACTTAGGTTGTGCCTGTGCGTATGGCTTCTCAAGATTTATTTTCTTCATTAAATTGAACTTGTTATTTGGGAAAAGGACATTAAAAGAACCTGGAATTCACAAAAAGAAAAACTCCAAAATGATGTGATGAATTTCCACATCTAAACAGAATATTGAAATTCAGCTTAAAGAAATAAATACCCCTCACTTTAATTTTTTTTTCTTTTTAAAAAAGTAACAGCCACCTTGCCAACAATCAGCCTCACATCACCGGCGGAAGGAATTTTTTGTAGCAAAGTGGTGAGGTAGGATTTGGAAGCAAAAAATTAAAAGTTACCGCATTGAGTCACTAGTGTATAATTTTTAACAAGTCAATATGAAATAATGTACAAGTTAACTATTAAACTTTGACTCCATGTTATTTATAACACCTCTATTTATTTATTTATTTTAACAAGTTTGAAATTTCAAAAATGAAATTATTAATTGTTAAACAATTATAGTAGTAGTGAATTGTAGAAATTGTTAAAAAAAAGTTGAAAATTACCTGTAATCAAAGCATAATAATTAACTTATTTTATTATGCGAAATGTTAATGGGTCAATGGTCCCCTAACTTTTTGACATCCAAGTTTCTAAAGTAACGGGCTTTCTTTTTTCAGCTGAATTTCAATATATATTTCATTTAGATGCTCCAATTGCTAAATGAAATCGTGAAAATTCAACACACCATTTTGATATTTTGCAAATTTCGGACTTTTTGGTGTCTTTTTCCCTTGTTCTTTTTTTAAGAAGGACACAGTTAAGCTTTTGCTTTTTGTTTTTTGGGTTTACTCAAGTGAGCATCTGTGCAAAATATCGAAACTGATTATTGATAAAAAATAACGTACCAAAGCCTATTTGGGTTTTAATTCTCCCTTTAAGGACAGCTTAGTTACAAGGCCTTTCCTCTATCATAAGATATAAATAAATTCGATAAAACAAAATTTCCAAAAATTTCATGGCATAACTAATTATATATAAATAATAATCTTTGTTTAATCAACAATAATTTATCATTTTATCTTTTGCCTCTTTGGGTATGTGTCTATAAGGAGGAGGGAAGGTTGGAGTTGTACCTGAGGAAGCAACCTTCGTAGATGATACGGGCACCGGCGACGCCGACAGAGCAGTTTCGTATATGAACGGCGGCGAAGTCGAAGCAAGCGAGGCAATCTTTGATGGAGAGGCAGTTTCTGCACTGGAAAAGGCCGTACGCCGGATTGTTACCCTTCACGGCCTGCGCCGTCGCGAAGTGCTTGCTCTGGTTGCTGATTTGAGCTCTCAGGTCTCTCAGAGTTATGTTTAAGTTGTCACTGAAGATGGACAAGTCACTCACGTTGTACTGGGTGCACCCTAGTTTTACGAAGTTGGTCTGTGGGTCCGAAACGACGCCGTCAAGACTCCACCATGACCATGACCAAATCAGCAAACTTAAGTAAAAGCAGACGAACTGGGGCTTTTGTTGCAGGTGCAGCAACATGGTGTTCTTTCTCTATACTTAGCTTGCAGAAGAGAGAGAAAGAGTTAAGAAGGTGCGGAGTTGTGAAGGGTGGGACACTATTTGTGACGTGAGAAGCAGGGACCGTCAAGTTTGAAAAAGACGACAAATTGTGTGTGTGTGTGTGTGTGTGAAGATAGTTGGGTAGCTTAAAAACGAAGGATCTGACGTGTTCTATCTTCTGTTAAAACCATTTACACACACACACACACATCCTTGGTCGAATTTGGATAGGCCATTTTTTAAACTGAGTTTATTAGCCACTTTTGGTAACTAAAATAAATTTTCATCAAATAGTGATTTGCAAATCACATTGTCAGTTCATAATAGAAGTTGTATAAATTAGGACAACTAAATTAGATTAAATCATAATTTATTACTACATTCGCTTCTTATTATAAGAGCTAGTTTGAATTTCAGTTTGATTCTAAATATAAAATCTCAATCTCCTTTATCTTTTATATTTGTCTATTTTTTTCAAAATAATCTTTATAATAGTTGCACATATTAAAGGTTCTATAGTTTTATCTAATATACATAATTAATAAGGGTATTTTAGGAAAGATAATACATATTTATTGCAAATAACTAACTTAACTTTTTCAAATTATTCATATATATATATATGTAAGGCACATGAACTTATAAAATTCCATTATTATATATATCAGGCAATAATTGTGCTTTTTGGGCGTTTTATTTGGGTATTCATTAGCACTTAGCATGTTGCCCAACTGAGGTAAATAACGTATTGGGTTCTCTTGCAATATCCTATCATTTTTCCACGTTCAATATGAGTTTTGCTCTGTGTCCCATGAGATCAAAATACTGAGCTATGATCGATCATAAAATTTAAATAGTTTTAATTAAAAAATAATCTTAAATAGCCTAGTGTTGAAATCATTGCATGCAATGCATACGTGGGAAAATGAATCAATAACAAGTTTGAAAATATCGAGAGAGTAAAAAAAGGAAGCTAAGACTTGCAAATAACAAAAAGAGAAGAAAAACTTAAAATGGGATATTGAAATTGAAGCACAATTACATAAATGCCCCTCATATTTTAAGAAAAAAGGTTCTAAACTCCCTCACTTCCGGTGGCTGACCACCACCTATATAAAAGCTGTACATGGCATGAAAGAGTGGTTTTGGCATTTGCAAAACAAAAGTTATTAGTACCTATTGCAAATCAATAATTATACAAAAATTGCAAATGACTTAAAAGAGTGGCTTTATTATATGCTGAATGGAAGTTGTTAATACTTATTGAAATATAGTTAATACCTATATGAAAGTTGTGAATGACTTGAAAGAGTAACTTTGTTACTTGCTAAATAAAAATTGTTAATACTTATGTAAATATAGTCAATATCTATGCAAAAATTGTGAATGATGAGTAATCAAAGTTAAATAGCTAAGTATTTTTTTTAGCTTTAAATTAATAATAAAGCATTGGTGGCCAAATGATTACTCTTAATTTTGATACAAACTATGAATCATGGTGGAATCAATTCGTACCTCCACCACTTTTTCCAAAAGAAAATTCCACTTTAAGCTGTGGTAGGATCAAATCCTCTGTCCATCACTTTCTTCCAAAAAATTCACTTCCTAAGAAAATTTCTCCCACTGGCACCACCTCACCGGAGCTCGAGCCTCCAATAGTGGCTTGCCATAGGTGGTGTCCTCAGCAAGGGTGTTGAGAACCTTTTTTTTTTTTGTTTAAATATGAGGGGCATTTATGTAACTGTGTTTTAATTTCAAGGTCCCATTTTAAGTTTTCCTTTCCTTTTTGTCATTTGCTTTTTTTTTTTTTTGGGTATTTTGATATTTTCAAACTGCTTTTTAGATCATTTTTCCATGCACATACATATCTTAAATATTATAGTATCTTGGTCCTATTTATAAGACATCGTTTATAGTATACAAACATACCTTTATAAATAGAATCGGAAGTAGTATACATATTCTCGCGTGCAAAAGTGCACTGAATGTATACTTTTGTCTTGTAATAATTATTACCTAAACGGATCACAATAAAAGGCAAATTACCGGTAGGATGGAGCCGTTTTTAACTTTTTTCCACAATTTCTCGTCATCAAATTCGTGAAGGATGCAATATAAATATAACAGCAATATACGGAAATGATATTTTACCCAAAAAAAAAAAGCAATAAAAAATGGAATTTACAGTACGGAAGTTCTGGGACCCACATGTTTTGAAGTGTGTGTGGGCCCATTGCTTTGCTTTGCATCTTGGATCGATTCTGGTCTTATTCAAAGGATGGGCTTGACTCGTTCAAACGTCTATGGGTAAGTTGGTAACACTAATGAGAGAGACAAAAGAATTATGAATTCCCCTTGTAACGTCACAATTCAATAACAAACTCTCTATTCTACGCCTGTCACTTTCTTCACTCTAGACGAAGTCAAATTGATAAATTTGATTAGACTATTTACAATTTTTTTAAAATAAAAAAAAATAGAAAGGCCATGCGAAAACATAGCTAACTATGCATATAACTCATTACGGAAATCATCTGAAAGTAAATTCCTAAAATCAAATACATCTAAGAATATTTGAATGTGATTCTATAGTATCAAACACTAGATGGCTTCACATGACGGAGTAAAAACATCACTAACTTACAATGGAGAACTCTAATTTCAATCGTAGTGCTAATTGAATCCAGAATGGTCTTGAATCTGTGGACCATCATGTTTGAAGGCTCTTTTAAAAAGAAGTTGAAGAGCATATCACATAAGCAAAGAATTAAAGGAAAATTTAATAAAGTATTTGTAAATATTTTGATTAAATGAATGATAAATAAATTATATTATAATATAAATACTTTTTTTATTGAAAAAGTTTATATTATAAAATTTCGAGTGTTGGAAAGCAAAGCTGCTTTAATAGTGATAAATAAGTGAATTCAGCTTCTCCATGAATAAGAAAAATGAATGACAAAAAAGGATGGAAAACAAAATGATTGTGGCAATTTCGTCAAAGGGTATCGTGGTCAATTAATCATTTTTAATTTTGTCCTTCCATATAAAATATGAATATGTTCTTATACTTTTAAAATAAATATGGACTAGTATGTCATTCAATGTAATTCTTCCAAGATTATTTCCTAACGCGGTGAACATAAGGTTTCTAATTAAACTAAATATTATTAAATTATTATGCATGTTATACTCCTCTGGTCCTTAATATATGAGCTAATTGTGGAGTTGATATTAGTATTATATATAATATCTATTCATATATTTTATTAATTTTTTAAAATTAATCCTATTATATTTCCTTAATAATAATTAAGTATGAGATAGAAGGAGGGAATTAAAACCCGGGGGTGTGGTTGAGCGGTGGGGGCTCATCCTCCCTTAACCAAGTGTCGAGGGTTCGATCCTTGCCTTGGGCATGAAAAAGCTTTTAAAAACCCGGGCCAGCTGTCCCATCCATCGAGGTGCCTACAAGCCAGCGAAGGGATTAGTCACCGGTCCACCGGTGGATACCCTGATGTTTCATAAAAAAAAGAAGGAGGGAATTAAGAAACATACTTAGGTTGTTTAAAAAAAGACATATCATATTAATCAATATAACTAATATTTTTAATCTACCCAAATGAGTTAATTATGTCTTAAATTAAGGACCAGTATATACATGAATCTTTCCTTCATTATATTTATAATTAAATACATGGAATTCAGATTCAAATGGCACCACTTGCAAATAAAAAAACACGCAAAATTTGATAAATAAGCCACATTTTTACCAACTTATATGAACGGTGGATCTTGCAAGAATATTTTTTTAATACAATAAAAATCAGACAACTAAGTTCATATTAAAGTTCTGACATGATATTACTACATATAAAGAAAAACAAATAACTTCACTTGCATAATCATTTAAAATAAAATTGGATTTGGGAAAAAGAGGTTGTCATATATAAATTAACCAAACTTTAAGTTACATTAATATGGTTTACTCAACATTGTACACTAAAATTATCGACTGATACATAATTTTTAAGGATTGATATATGATTACAAACAAAAATATTGAAGAATAATGGAATAAAGGACAAGCATTCTTCCTGTTCGATGTTAGTTCTTATTCCGTTCTTGGTTCCAACACTCAAAAGTCCATCACATCGATATGTAATTCCTCCAAAATGCAAACGACTATCTTTCTGACAATATAATTCGAGACCCCGAAACAATATTGGGCGAGGAAAAAGAGAGAAAGTTGAGAGATGTAGTCATAAGCATTAGTACAGTTTGTTCCATGGGCCCTAGTTAGTTAGTTTCAACCAAGAAAGGCATAGTTGGCCTCATATTTTCAAACAAACTTTTCTTTTGCAGCGAGACGACAACTGCGGACATTGTCGGCCTTATTGCAGCTGATGCTTGGGTGCAAAGCAAACCAATCTCAATTATTTTCTCTACTTCTTCTGCAGCATAGTCGTTAGAGTCTAAAGTATTGTCCACCAACTATAAATGCATGCCTCTTTCATATAGTTTCCATGCCTAACAATAATTGGATTAAAAGTTAAGCAAAATATATAACCGGGATGGAAATGCAAAGAAAAACTTGGTTAATTTTTAAGTTTTTGTTTATTTTTAGATTCTCTAATAATAAAGGGGAAAAAAACCGCTTTCACAAGATCTAACCCAAAAGCATTATATCTGTTGATTTACTAAATGAATTCCCATTTCAAAACCTCCTTCAAAAATAGTATTTTTAAATGCTTATATAAATTTTCTTACCTTCTGAAGGAGGAATTCACCCTCGGCTTCACCATTAACATTCAATTCTTCACTTTTTCGACCACTAATAATTTCGAGGACTACAACTCCATAGCTATAGATATCAACCTTTGAAATGTGACCTATCTTGCTTACACCTTAGGGTCAAATTCAAAATTAAAACCAAGGATTGTACTATAGGCACAACCCCGGGTCGTTTCACTTGTTGGAGCCTTAACTATTGATCCTAAGTTAACTAAATGCCATGAAAATGCAAATGACTAAAATTACTAAGGGGGTTTTCATTAAAAATATTAATTGAGATAAAATGCAATGTAAATATATTTTTGGATTTTTGGAAATTACGATGGAATGGATGGGAAACAAGTATTGAAACAGTTGATAAAACCTCTTGAAAATGGACCTTTGGCAATCATAGTTCAAAATGATTTTGGGGAGTAAATATCACCAAGTTTTTTAAAGGAAAAACCTTAAAGAACCCTTCAAGTCTAGGATCTTAATCAATGGCCACCCATCTTATAAGATCCTATTAAGCTCACTTAGTGTGTGTATTAAGATTAATTAATGCACTTGGTTTAATGCAAGCCCAAATTAACTCAACAATCAAACAATACCATGCAAGAAAGAGAGTATCAAAAGTGTTACATAGAAACATATATGTAACCACATATATTGAAGCTCAAATTAAACATTAACTAATCCAATACACAAGATAATCATCCAGAATTGATTACAACCATAATCAAAACAGTTCAGCCCCCATTTACAAATCCTAAGACCTCGAAATTCATAAATAAACAACTAGAACTATGGATGAAGCTAACCCCCTTGAAGCTCTTGGAACTCACGCCAATCAACCATCTTCAAGAGTTTAAGGACCCCTAGCCCTCCATAACTCCAAGCATTGCTCCAACCAGCAGCAACAGTTGAATCTCCATGGAAGAAGAGGTTATGGATGAATTAAAGGAAAATATGATGAATGTAATGAAGAATGGTGGAAGGAGGAGATGAGAGGATGATTCAGCCAAAGAAAGGTGAGGAGAGATCGAATGAGGCTTCCCTAGGTTGAAACTCAGCTTATACTGGCTACTAGAGGTGGTTTTGGGTCGGGTTGAAGCTTAGGGATCCGAATCAGAATGCTAAAATCGCGACTTGTGCAATTCTGACAAATCCGCCATCCGCCACGCGGATGGTACTTTTCAGCCAAAATGCAAAGCTTCATTTACTCAGGGCCTCTGGTGTAATTTCTTGAATTCTAGGGCCTTTTCTGTGATTAATTCGGTCTTTTACTACCTTTAATGTTGGGACTAAAGTGTGATTTCCAAATTTGCCCAAATTTCTCCCAAAGTACCTACAAGGAAAATCATACATAATATAGCATCAATTATCCTAGAAATCAATTAATAATAATTAATCTCCAATTATGACAATTTTGCCCCTATTACGCACTAATTCAAGGTAAGGCACTTTAATATAAATTAAGCACAATAAACACTAAAAGAGCTACTAACTATGATAAAACCCTTAAAATCATATGAAAAGACAATAAAGAATTGGGTTCAATCAACCTTCTTAGATAATTGTCCATTTATTGCATATTCTGGTGCTGATGGATATCCTCTGACAAATATATAGTATTTACAAAATAACTTATCATATTATAATTAAAACACAACACACCCATATAAATTTCAAGAAGACAATATCTGAAATCGATGGGAACAAACATAATGCTATGTCATGTGGAACGTAGATATGAACTCTGATGTAAAACAAGATAGAAAAAAGAAAGAGGAAATTAGGGAGAAAAAGGAAGCAAAGAGGGAAAGCCAAGAGAGAAAATAACTGTATTATGAAATTTCAATCTAAAGTCATAAGTCTCCGTAAAATGAAAACCCTAGAACTATTTACAGTGAAATAACAATAAAAAGAATAATAATAATAACAACTAATCCTAATATAAAAAAAAAAACTAAAATACTGATACATTTAAGTAAATCCTAAAATGGCGATAAATCCAAATAATCCAAATATTATAGAAATATAATTAAACCATAATTATTTCTTATATCATATTTCACTAGACTCTATTGTGTTGTATTGACGTTTTAATTATAGGGGAAAAAAAAGAGAAAAATGCTTAAACTACTTATTGATATGATAGGAGTGCTGTGTTGACCTAAGCATATATTTTATCTACATGCGTCCACTATGATAATGTAAAAAAAACCTAGGCAAATAAAATTATTTCAACTTATAGTGTTCCTCCAAATTTTGTGCTAAAATGAGATTTGTCCTCAGGTGAAAGTCTTGCTAACCCAAAATCAGCAATTTAGGTTGAAGTTCATCATCTAAGAGTATGTTATTTGACTTTATATCTCGACGAATGTGGAATTCTTTGTGTAGATAGGCCAAACCCCTTGCAGTGCCTAAAATTATATCATACCATTGCTTCCAACCAAGAGAACCTTTCATTTTACCTGTCACCACTTACTCATGATAAAGAAAGAATAAAAAATGATCCTCAAAATGTTTCTAGAGGAAATAGCTATAGATTTTTACTAAACACTTCAATAAATTTTTATCTCATATAGGAATAAGCTTGTTAGAAGAGTCAATTAAATGAAAATGAAAATACATCCACATGTTATAAACTTGCTATATTATGAAGACATCAAGCAGCTTGTACTTAAAGAACAAACATAAATTTTGGTAGTTTGATAGGAGTTTAACAAATAAGAATTTGTCAAGGCTGGTATTTTTCATGTATTCATAACCAAGAATTCTCTCATTGCGTTGACCACAATATCCAAGAAGCTGAACAAGATTTCGATGATGAACATTGCTTATAAGCTTCACTTCACTCTCAAATTCTTCCTCCACTTTATTGGAGCGGCGGCGTAAAGTTAATTTTTTGACTGCATTATTTTCCATTCTTCAGAGTTCCCTATTCATGATGATTAAAAATTTTCCTAAAAGTGTTCTATATGATCCCTTTAATCAGTCCTCTCGTATATGTACAAGTTTTATAACACTGCATAAAACTCACATAGTAAAATCCTTACTGGGAACATTCAAAATATTAAAAATCAAAAGATATAGCTACCTTATATACTGCACCAAATCCTCCTTCTCCAAGTTTATTTTCTGCACTAAAATTTTTAGTTGCGTACTTCAAATCCATGTAACTGTAATGAATTGCACCTTTCAACTTGCTTGCACCAGTTATGTCTCCTGGAGGAAAAATATTAGTCAATTCTCTTAAAATTAGATAAACAAATTAAGGATTCATCCTCTGTAGATACATGTGAAAGTCCATAACTTTCTTTCACGGAAAAAGTGAAAACCAGATCATCACCCAAAACATTAAAAATATGTAGTAAATGAATACTTTGAAGACTTTATTTTATTTATTTCTTTTTTTGGCTACCTCCAGCCGGAAGCCTTTTAGGGCTTTTTGGTGGTTTAGTCCAAACAAAAAGTGCAAGGGCAACCGAAACAAGAAATGCTCCTCCAACAACTCCACCAATGATGACCCCCTTATTGCTAGAACCTGCAAGATTAGAAAATCGTCTTATCAAACCAAAATGACATGAGATAAATATAACATAAAATCTTCAAATGAACCATGCCATGTTTATCCATGGGAGTGACATCAACGATCTGGTAATTATCTGGAAAGAACGAAGTTGTGGAGTATCTCATGAAACATCCCTAATCAAAAGCTCGACCATCTGAAGTGGGAAGACAAGTCTGCATATTTCTGTATCCAACATTTAAGCAACTGAGGCATCCGCGTTGTGTAATAGTTTCTGTACACTGAACAAAGGCATATATAGTTGGACCATTATTAGGAACCTGTGTCTTCGTGGCTGCCACAAAGCCAGGGATTGTTGGTGTTTCTCTTTGGAGATTCATTAGCAGTTTTTGCGCAGCTGAGTTAAAGGCAGTGGCTTCTCCGGTAGTTTTGTTCCCCCATAATGCAGCATTGAAAGTATCCGTCGCCCGCTCAAAGAAAGGACTCGCATCATACCTCAAAATACCAAGAATTTTCCCATGCATATCCATCAATTTTCCAAGTTCAATATGGATTTTGCAATATGTATATATGGAGCAAACTTTTGTGAACATCTCTAGACTTCTTTTGACGATATGCTAGAAAAATGTATTGATTAAAAATGTTTTAAAATTTACGACTTAACCAAAGTAAAAAGCACTCTGATTCTCTTTGCAAGTCTTAGAAATTAATAACTTACACTAGTTTTAAATAATTGTGATAAATGATTAAATATTAAAATATAAATATTTCAGTAAAAATATTTTTAATTAGCTGCCGTCACTAACAACTTGCTATAGGGGTCCAATGACTATCCAGTAACCGGTCTATGACAGTCAAGTGATTAGTAACGACCAATCAAAGTTGGGTTTGGGCCTCGCAGGAGTATTTTGACTATTTCACATATATGTAGATAATGGCATTCAAACTCCTCAGATCTTATCTGTAATTTAACAACTCTATTGGGTTACTAAGTCCCATATCCAAGACCTATTTATCATTTTTTTTCCTCTTATGAACTCCATCATGCCACATCATCGTTATAGAGACTAGCAGAAGAAAGTATAGGAATGAACCTCTACCGGAAAATTGATGTGTAAGTATGAAGAAATAGACTACTTTCCCCTTTTGTGATTATTACCTTTTTCTTCAAAAAAGAGGCTTCTTTTTTTTGTTTTTGGTCAAGGAACTCACGCACCAAGGCGAACTCGTACCATCTTACTTTAATTATTTGGTGTCAATTAAGGCAAACTCTGACTCATGAAAAAGATATTGGATGACGTAAATGAAGTCTTTATTGTTTGTGGTGTTGAGATATTACTTGCAAACTTTCACCTTGGGCAAACTGATAATATAACATCACAATAAATATCTGATCTATCTGCTACGGAGAAAAGAACTAGGGGAATTTGGTGGACTAGTTTTGCACTTGAGGAAGCAGCCGTCGTAAAGGGCATGGCCACCAGGGGCTCCGGCGGGGCAGCTCCGGATTTTGACGGCAGCTACATCGAAGCACGCGAGACAGTCTGCGATGGAAAGGTAGTTTCTGCACTGAAAAAGAGTGGACACCGGGCTTCCTCCATCACTTTCCTGAACCGTAACGAAGTGCTTGGTTTGGTCTCTGACCTGTTCTCTTATGTCTCGAAACGTTGCGTTTAGCTTTTCATTGAAGATAGACAAGTCGGAAACGACGAAGCGGTCGAATGGGGTGCAGCCGATGGTAAGAAGATGAGTCTACGGGTCTGAAACGACGCCGTCAATAGCACAACAGGACCAAAATATGAAAGTGAATAAGGTAAGGAGATAAGAATGTTGAATAAGCATGTTTGATTGAGAGGAAGAAGATGAAGAAAGAACGAGAGGTCAATGGGCCCTTGCTTCAATGGGGTATGAGGATAACAACGAAATAAAAGGAGCATCATGTGTTTGAAATAGACCGCAACATTCAAAATTGTATCTCGTGAAACGTCATGGTGATGGTGAGGTTATGGAAAACTGAGTTTTATTTTTATTTATTTATTTATTATTTGGAAAATCGCTATAAGATTCTGAGAAGAAATGTAATCAACAAATTAAATGTCCTACATCGGACAAATATTATGTAATGACAAGTTTTGGTGTTGTTTGTAGGAGCTTGTCCCTAGGTTAAAAGGAGCTGACCGTGGCTGTTGGATCAATATTGTTTTTGAAACAAGACGGTACGTACATGTAATACTTAATATGAAAGCTAGATAACTAATTTTTGAATATTAAAAAAATTAGCTATGTTAGTTATTTATAATAAATAAATATTTTTTTAAGATACTCTTATTAATTATATGCATTGAAACTAGCTACCACTTGATGAAAATTTCTAATAACGTGCAATCATCATAGTGATTATTTGGGGGGCCAAAATATATAAATATTACCTTCGATCATAATTATAAGGCCTCATTTATAGTCTACAAACGAGGTCTTATAATTAGAACCAGAGATAGTATTACAAACAACAAAGATTGATGTCTTATATTTAGAATCAAATTGAATTTCTAACTAATTTTCATATTAAGTATGGAAGTAGTATTTTTTCCCGACCGTAGGTGGTATCTTTTTAAGCTTGGAGGATATAGAAATTGATATAATCAAAATATGATAAGGGAAAATGACACTAAGGTCCCACAAAAGGAACTATACTACAAAACAATCCTTTGAAATCTGATAATGAATCACAAGTCCCATAGGCACTTAACTGCAACAATAAGTATGTCAAAAAGACATCATTGCCTAGCAGTGTAGAAGGAAAGGAGGCTCATATTTTCCACACAATTTGAAGTTGTTACGGATGGGAGAGAAGAGCTGAAAAAAAAGGAAGTAGCCATTGATGATAAAGCTTTCTCATCACCATTAGTAAACTCCAAAGAGCTTCCATTTCAATCTCTCTAGACTTTCAGGTTTTGAAACTTTCTTCCCCTCTTCTCCTTTGCATTTTGCTTGACAGATTGTGTTTGGGTATGAGAATTTAGAAATTTGTTTTTTCCTTTAGATATTGCAAAGCTTTTATTTTGGTCTAATTTGAACAAGATAATCCATAAAAAGGTTGGTGTGGGTTAGTGATTTAAGTTGGGGTTTCATTGTGGGTGGATAGGATGATGATCGGTGCTTTATTTTTGTTACATTATGGGTGGTTTTGCTCTGTTTAGCATGGTTTAGTGTGAAAGGCTGAAAAACATGAAGGTTGGTGTGGGTAGAAACCTTTCTTGCAAAATGAGATATTGTGTTATCAATATAGGCTGTAAAAGTTGCAATAGATGCCGCGATAGTTGTCAATTGTGCTGCTTTACTTGTCAATAACAGCTGGAGGATTGTTGATGCGGGTTTACATTAATGATGACCAGTATGTCTGGGAAGCATCACACTGTCAAACCATGCAAGAACCTAAATACCAATTGACAACATATTGAAATCAGCAATTTTTTATATGGATGTGAAAGGAATATTTTCTAAATGAGTGTGAAGGGATTTTTTTGTAAATGGATACACACCAACAATTAGTTTGGTAATTACATATAACCTTTTTTTTTTGGAATGGGTTGTGAAATATGTGTAATTCCATGTATATAAAGATGTAAATAAAAGTTGGCTATAAATCAATATGTTAGATTTTACTGTCATTTGAGTTGTAATTATGATACCTTGTATTGTCAATAAACTTGTTTTGAATTGTCATTGATTGCAATATGACTTATCAATTAATGTACTAATGTAAGTTATCTAAAATGTAAATTCAGGTTACATGATATTGACATATCATATGATGTTTCAATTACTTTAACATATTACATTGTGGTTATAATGTCGTATATAAGCATTATTAAAAGCCTATTATTACTGATATAAAATTATAAAATGAATTATCAATAACTAAATCATCACTTGTCGATAGTGGCACTATGACTTGTTAACCGTGGCACTGTGACTTGTCAATGGTAGAATCAAGAGCATAGAATTTCATCCAAGCCCCATGACGAATTTATCTAGGCATTGCAGCGCCTATTACAAAATGCCTCTATGTCCTTTCTGCTTCAGAGGCCGCAGTGGACTGCTCTAGGCGCCGTGGCGGATTGAGGATTATCATACTTGTCAACAAATGCACTGTGACTTGTCAAATTTTGAGAAATTGTCATCCAATTAACATACCTTCTGGTTGATATTTATATTTTAGGTTACATATAACTTACTTGAACATTTTAAATAACAACACCTTCAATTTTGAAAATTTCCATATTATTACAAAAAAAAAAGATTAGTTTTGAGGAATTGGTGATATTGTATGACTTTGTATGGTATTATGTAACGTAAAATCACTTTTTTTTTCAAATTTATATCAGCACGTAAATTAACAACTGATAGTGCAATGAGTGACAAGTGATGAAGAGTGTATTGATAATGAAGGGTGCAGATAATGACAACTAATTATGCATCAAAATGTAATATATAGTCAACTTTCATTTACAACCTCATACACATGTAATTACACTGATTTCACAACGCATTAAAAAAAAATACAATTGCATGTATCTAATATCAAACTAATTATTTATATGTATTGTGACATTTACAAAAAATTGTCACTTTTATTTACGAAAAATTATTTTGCCATTATTTGCTTAGGTTCAAAGTGGCTTTTCTTTTTACCATTTTTTCTTTTTGCTTCATGTGGTGCCCACCTTTCTTCATCGTCTCTTCTTTCTCTTTTTATAACCTCTACCAATGAGTCAATGGCATAGAAGGTTATGAACTTTGTGTCAAGAATTTAACAATATCATTTAATGTAAATCTGCACAACACAGGTATCATTGACAAATCAAGGAGCTATATTGATAATTATTGCGGCCTATATTGACAACATATTTTTCCGTTTCGTAGTAAGGGTTTTTAGCCACATCAACCTTTAACTTCCTCATCAATTCCCACCAAACTATCCCAGAAAGAGCAAGTCCACCTTCAATCCCCCACAATACACCCAAAAATAGAATATCCATAATCACCCTACCCCACCCCTATAATAAAATCCCAACTTAAATGACCAAGCACACACCAAACCAAAAAACACAAGTGAATCTTGCCAATAGTTGACATGGGTGGAGTGGACGAGATTTTCAAATGAGAATGGGGAAGAAACAGAATGAAGTTTGGCTTTTTCCCCTTTTACTTTCTGCATATAGAGTGGCGATTCTCAAATTGAAAAACAGGACAACTTTCATTTACTTTGGGTACATCCCATTAGGGGTAGAGAAGTCTTTTTACACTTTACTAAATTGCACTCAAGTCTCTTTGGGACTTCAGATTCATTACCAAGTTTCGTGGATGAAATTCTATGCTCTTGATTCTACCGTTGACAAGTTACAGTGCCACTGTTGACAAGTGTGATGATGTAATTATTGATAATTCATTTTATAATTTTATATCAGTAATAATAGGCTTTCAATAATGATTATATATGACATTATAGCCAAAATGTAATATGTCA